CATTAAAAGGGAACTGGGTCTCAGTGAAGGCAAGAAGATGGAAGGAGTGAGAAAGGAAAAGGTTTAAGATGAAAGCATATCTGTAAACCACAGACAGGTAGGTGGTGTAGTAGATAAGAGTGCTGGACTTTGAGTCAGGAAGATCTGAGTTCAAATCTACCTTCAGCCACTTTCTTAACTGTGCACTCTGGGCAAGTCACTTAAATTCTGACTGCCTCAGTTTTCCCATTTATAAAATGGGGATAACAGGGTGGTTGTGAGGATAAATTAGATATTTGTAAAGTGTTTTGCAAACCTTAAAATGTTATATAAATGCTATTATTTTATTACCCATGGGTCATGCATTTCAGAGGGCATAGTGGTAGAGATGAGTAGCCTTAGAGTGGGAAATGAGGTGAGGGAAGATTCAGTTGAGAAAGATGGAAATAAGTGAGGAGGATGGGAATAAAAAAAAACTCCATCATTGGGATGGGGATGATGGAAAGGAATAGGAGTATTTCAATCACTGAGGATTGAGTTAAAGTAGGGGTTATGACATTTAAAAGGCTGGAGAGAAAATTGCTGGGTAATAATTTTATTAATAATGCTAGCATATTAATAAAAGAGGTCAGTGGCACCGCTGAATGCCAAAGACAATCATGGTGGCAGGCTCACAGCTTATATGCCTTTGGAAAAGTGGGTGTTCCAGAAAATGGCAATCAACTTTTACTGGTTAACAATTAATGAGAGAATGAATATTACAATGAGAAGTTGTCTCACTCCAGTGAGGGGCTGAGAGAGTAACATTATGCCACTCTTGGACACCCAGACCACTCCCAGCTTTGGGCAATCTAATCAAAGAATTTATCCCTACCCAAACCTGAGTGAACACAATAGGCTTCCCAACTTTAGATTAAATTCCTTGTAAGGTTGGGTGGAATCAGACCAAGATTGAGGAGAGTTAATTCAATCTCATTATCAGGAATGTTCTTCAAAAGACTGAACTTTGAAATAAGGACTACAGAAAAAGGGGAACTCTGGATCTCCCCAAATCATTGGTTACTAATAATCAGTTCTCTCAGGGTTGAGCCTAGGGATGGATGTTAGGCAGAGGGTCTGTAGCTAAAAAGGGGGAGGAGGAAAAGTATGAAGTGGTGGGACCCAGGGGATACAATGCATTTGTTTTACTTTATAATACTTTATGTCCATCTTTTACCTCCTAGCTAGAATGTAAGCACCATGAAGGCAGGGGTTATATTTTATCTATCTTTTTATCTTCCCCATCACCTGTGACAGTACATAATAGGTACTCAGTAAGATATGAGCTTTGCCTTCCTGGGCTTTATAGCCAATTTACTAAAAAACGAAACAAAACAAAACACCATTTATTAAATTAAAGCTTACCAGGCTCCAAGCAGTATGCTAATCATCAGATATTTAAAAAAAAAAAAGGCAAAACTAGTTCCAGCCCTCAAGGAGGTCACATTCTAATGAAGGAGATGTAACTAGGTAAATACAAGATATATACAGAGTAGATGGGAGGTAATCCCAGAGGGATATGTACTAGCAGATTTAAAGATAGGGAAAAGCCTGCTGCAAAGAGTCTCCTGAACTGAAACTTGAAGGAAAAAGTGAGAGGCAGAGATGAGGGAGGATGTTCCATGAATGGGGGGCAGGGGGAACCAGCCACAAGGAGTTAAGGGAATTATATGAGAAAAACCATAAGTCTAGAGTGAACATAGTTTTGGGGAGTCAAAGAAATGATCACCTTGGCTGATTGTGCTGGTGGAGAACAGTAGACAGGGTTAGATAGAGTGGGGCCAGATTTTCTATTTGGAGAGAAATTTGTTTTCTAATTTGTAGGTAAATGGGAAGTCACTGGAAAGTTTTGAACATGCATTAAATTATATAATTTATTGTTTGAGAAAAAGTACCTGGTTGGGTATGTAACCCAAGGAGGTCAGAGGTAGAAAGAAAGGTGTGGCAGTTTTCATGCTACCAAATAATTAGAAACAGAGTAGATAAGCATAGACGGGGGAATGGCTAAAGTTTTGTGTGTGTGTGTGTGTATGTGTGTGTGTGTGTGATACATCATTTATATGGGTATGTGTCAAAAGTTACAGAGGTGTTAAGGATGAAGGAAAAACTACTGAATTTGGAGGGAAAAAAAAGTCACCGGCAATTTTCCAGACTGTGGCTCATTAAAAGGAGAAAATGGGTAGGGAGGATGGAAGCAACCAGTTTTATAGAAATCCTCTTTTAAGTTTGATAGGGAAATAGAGGACAAAGGGAATCTGAATCTGGCAGCGCAGGTTATAAAAAAAGTATCGACTTTTTGAAGGCAAAAGGGAAGGAGCTTAGGAAAAGGGAGAAACTGAATATGCTGAAAAAGAAAAAGGTAAGTCAGAAAATGACGTGATCTAGGGACCTGATGGAAGTGTTTATTTTAGAAATGAGGGATACATTTTCCTCAAAAACTAGGAGGTTAAGAAGATGGGTATATAGATATGCTAAGATTTGTTAGGTAAAGTAGTTTATAACCAGTAGTCTTGAATTCAAGAAAATTAAAAGGGAAGATCATTTACTGAGTGGCTGGGGGCTGGAACTAGGGAATAGAGGGGAAATTTTAGAACAGCTACTGTTGGGGAGCTAGGTGGCACAGTAGGTACAGTACTGGGCCTGGAGTCAGGAAGACCTAAGTTCACATATGACCTCAGACACTTACTGACTGTGTGTGTGACCTTGAGCAAGTTATTTAGCCTCTGTTTGCCTCAGTTTCCCCAACTGTAAAAAGGGGACAATAACAGCACCTTCATTGCAAGGTTGTGAGGATCAAATGAGATTTTTTGCTCAACATGATACTTGGCACACATAGCAAACACTATATAAATGCTTACTTCTCCCAGCCCCAGAAAACAGATGTTCAGAATAATGATCATTTTTGCAAGATTCTTAATCATTGAAGGTTCAATTGTCTTGTGCAAATAAGCACTATGCTAAGACAGAAAACTGGACTAATATATTTTAGAAAGATTGTTAAAATGGGTTTTTTGTCACCCTTTCTTAACTAAAACATTGACCTAACTAGAATACCCCAGTCACTGAGCATTCCACTTAATGTTACAGTTTTATTGTAATATCATTCACTGAATTTCACTGTGTCTCCAATGAATGAGAGAAATGGGCTTAAATCACAACAATGAGTTTGATTAGACTAAAGGAAGAACTTAATACAGTAACAAGTTTCTGAGTTTCTCTAGAAAGCTTTAAAAGGATCAGTAACCATCCATCACAAATGGTAGTGTATTAAACCAAAAGACCTTTTCACCTGTGGGATCTCAATCCAGCCAGACTAATTCCAAAAGTTCACCAGAACACAGAACATAAGGAGGGCAGGGCACATTTTCATAGCACAATCCAACAGCAGAGTTTCTGCATCTAAATCCCTTTCCTCTGCGCACCTGACTGATCCTTCCTTGGTCTCCTCTGCTGGCCTATTGTCCACATCACATGCTCTAATGTGGGAATTCCCCACGATTCTATCCTGTGCCCTCTTTACTTCTCTCTGTAGATGCTCTCTTGCTGACCTGATCAGCTCCCATTGGAGTAATTTTCATCTCTGTGCAAATGATCACCATAGCTATATATCCAGCCCATTTCTCCAGTGCCCTTCAATCTTTGATCACCAGTTGCCTACTAGAGCTTTCAAACTGGATGTCCTGGAAATGACTTAAATTCAACATGCCTAAAACTCGACTTCTTATACTTCCCTTTAAGTCAGTACCTCCCCCAAATTTCTTTATTTCTGTCAAAGGCACCACTGTCCTTTCAGAATCTCAGGTTGGTAATATCAGCTTTAACACATACTGCTACACATACTGCTTACTCTCTCTCATCCCACACATGGTTGCCAAATCTTGTTTTTTCTATCTCCATATCATCTCTTGCAGCTGACCCCTTCTCATCATTTAGAAAGCTTAGTTCAGGCCCTCATCACTTCTATATTATTTTAGCAGCCTTCTACTTGGTCTCCCTGCCTCAAGTCTCTCTTCACTCCAGGCCATCCCATCCCTACACACTGCAGCCAAAGTATTTTTCCTTAAATATAGATCTGACCATGTGACTCTATACTCAACAAACTCCAGTAGCTTCTTACTACCTTGAGGATAAAAATCAAACTCCTATGATTAGCTTTTAACGCCCTACACAATATGTCTCCAGCCTATCTTTCCAGCCTCATTGCACATAGTCGTTCCCTACTGGGTACTCTGCAATCCAGCTAAGCCAGCCTCTTGTTCTTCACATATGACACTTCATCGACCACATCCGTGCCTTTCTAATGGTCTCCCCTGAAGCTTATAATATACTCTTTTCTTACCTCTAACTGAATTCCTTCTTTTCCTTTAAGATGCAACGTGGGCACTATCTTCTTCATGAAACCTTCCTGAGCTGCTGCAACTGCTAGTTCTTTCATTTCCAAATTACTTGATATTTAACTAGTTTATATACATTTGTATTTGCTAACTTTATTCTTATGCTGTATATATTTTTATCTGTACTCATTATCTTTCCCACTAGAAAATGTAAGCTCTCTGTGAGTAGGAATTATTTCACTTGTATACTTACATTCTCAGCACCTAAAAGAGTCCTTGGCACATAACAGGTACTTAATAAATAATTAATTGTATCACTGGGCCCCTGACTATCTTTTGGTTCTTGTACCCAGTACCTTCCTTGGTTTGACTCTTCAGTGGTTAGCCATAAAGATTGTCAAAAACTTCCTTTCTGCTCTTCCCATTTCTGCCCTAAAGACCTTAAGTCCAAAGCAATTTTAATTAAACACAAAAGAAAAACAAACAAAACACCCACAACTAATGTAAGCCTAAAAATATCATCTAAAAATCTGCGAATCAATAATCAAAGCTATATTCTAGTCACTGCACAGAGGTCAGGAGTCAAGCTGTCATTCACAACTTGGTTACCGATACCAGTTATCTCCTGCACCAGACAGTGACTCGTACCTGGCAAAAGGAGACCTGGGGCTGGGTCCCTACTCCTGGGGTGCTACTGAAGGTGCCAATACATTTGGATGAGGAAACTGGAAGACGATGAGACACACTGGCTGGCCCCGGAGTCCGGTTGGGCTGGGGTAGTTGGTCTCCATTAAAGTTTGTTGCTGATGTTGCCGACTGGACTGAGGGTCCAAGGTTAGGAAGGGCTGTGCTGGAGGAGCTGACGACTGTGAACCGACCAGGGGCAGAGACACTCGTGACAGCAGACTGTCCTGGGAAGCCTGGCCTTCCTTGAGAGACATTGCTCTGGCCAGGTGATAAATGTAACACGGTTGGCGATGCCTGCTGCAAGGGCATCTGTCCACCAACAATCTGAGAAGGTGTGTGATTGACTATCACTTGGTTACCAGATGCTGTAAATGTCTGCCCAGACACGAGCTGGACAGCAGTATTCTGGTTGTTTAGCATCTGCCCCGAATATGATGGGTTGGTCCTAAGCATATTAGAGGAACCCCTGTTCAACATGACATGCTCGGAAGCCACTTGACCAGACACCAGCTGAGAAGGCTGAGTCTGAAGAAGTTGCCCATTGATGGTCTGGACATGGTGTACTGAGTTTGAATTGACAGAAAGGCTTGTGGGAATGAGGAACTGACTTTGGGGTGCATGAGGCTGTGCCATGGGTGAGTGGATAACAATACTACCTCCCGTGCTGTTCACTGCTTGTGAGGCAACTGATTTTCTTGTGTTCTGTTGATTCACAATGTTCACAGACATATGTGGACCCACTACTGAGCCCTGGGGTGAGCTTGCAGGGGCAAAAGGAATCCCTTGTTGCACATGGTGCTGTTGAATTCCCAAATTGTTCACATTGTATGTGTTTTGCTGACCCATTTGAATAGGCTTTGGTTGGATATTAATTGGGACTTTATTTGAATTTGGTGCAAGGCCCCTCTGTATGATAATGTTATGTACGGGTAAAGATGTCTGAAAATTTGTGCTGTTAAATGGAACAGTTACAGGCTGTGCTACTGGACTTGAACTGGAGTTTCCAAACAACGAATTGCCATTAGGAGTCTGTCTATGAACCAGGAGTCCACTACTCATATTTGTAGATGCTTGCTGCCCACTGCCTTTCAGTATGATCTGAGATCCATCAAGGTTATTAATGGTCATCATGGAAGGCTGATTGCTAAATGAACCAATGAGTTGTATTTGACCAGAACCACTAATCTGACTGCTATTAGACAAATGCTGGCTGGGCACGCTGATCCCCACATGCTGCATGAAGCCATGCTGCACACCCACTGTATTGCTTGCAAACGATGCTCCAACAGGCACGTGAGTCACTCCTATAGGCTGCAGCGTCTGACCTGAGTAATTAGAAACATTAGAAGCCTGAGTAAAGGATGCTGATGAAGAAGGATGAAGCGGAGCTTGTGCAAACTGTTGGCTAGAACTTATACTGGCGTCCAAATAAGCCTCTTCTGCCAAAGTCTGTTCAGTGATATTGGCCTCCTGCAAGGACTTCTGGAGAATGTCAAAAGGTTGATCCTCACTGAGGTCAGGAAGAGGAGAGGATTCAAGCTCATCTTCAAGAAACTGAAGGCTACTTGAAAGTGGGAGTCCATCACTAGATCCTTCTCCAAGCTGGCTGCTCACACCTTTGAGGGATGACTTGGAATCAGCGTTCTGAAAGAACACAGACAAGGTTACATGCCACCTCTAACTCTTTAACACACTCACATCTTCAACATTTTAATTACAAATCTCTAAATTATAAATCTTTAATTACAAAAAACATGGAAAAACAGCCATATTTTGCTACTATACCAAAGTATTGGCCATAATTTATGTACATTATAGAAAATCTTTTGGAGGTAATAGTCAAACCAAATACTGGGAGTTAAAGAACTGTTTATTCTATTAGAATAGCTACACAAAAAACATTTTAAAATCTATCTTACTAATCCATGTATATGAATGAATAAAATAGCTGTACTATTTCACAAAGAACTTGAAAGGCTAAGTTGTTGATTTTTAAAATTCTGCTGTTTTGTTTCTATGGTAATGGTATCTAAAATGTAGCATTCAAATTTTTTTTACTCCTTTCATTGACTGGTAAAATATAATAAGCTTTACATAGTATAAATTAACTCAGAGCTACTCATCTCCATTTTTTGAGGCAGAAGCACAAAGTAGTTGTTCAAGGCTGGCCCACTCCTGACTGTAGATGTGTACAATTGTCCAGAAGTCAGCCAAAAGTCCTCCCCAGTCCTAAGGACCATGGGAACCAAATCAGTTCTGGGAGCTCCCAGTAGTTGTTCTACAGGGGACCCAGCATGGGTCTTAGATCAAAGTAGACCTGCCACAAATAATGACCCAAGAGAACCCCAGAATGTCCAGTCTCCTAGACTTTCTAGACACAGGCCAAACTGGTAGCTCCCCAGGATCCCTGGTCATGGAAGAGTACACCTGTATCCCAGCCTACTCCAGGAAAGACTTGTTCAGATGGGAATCTGCTTCTGTCATAGTGAGTTAACGGTCATCTGGTTGCTAGAAAATGAGTAGTTTTTTGAGATTTTTCAAAAGCCACCTAAGTAGCCACTTTAGTATTCAAAAGTCAGAGAGTCACCATTAGCCATATATGCTATCTGACAAGGATATAAAAAATAGGAGACACTTTATGCTTTTACAGGGTGAAGCTTAATTGGAAACACATAAAAATGGTTTTAAAACACTTTTCAATGTTATATAATACACATATGATTTGTCAGGACACCCATGAATTACAAAATTAAGGCAAAGAATGACAGAAAAAACAAAGCTATGAAGTCAAGTGATATTTAAAATAGGTCTTTTGTTGACTCAAATGAAACATGGAAGAGATAAACAGGAAAGAGAGATCATAAGAGACTTATTAAGGTTGAACTGTTTATATTCCTGCAGGGAAAGATGATATTTGTAACTCATGAGTCCTTTGTCAGTATTAGGGTCGTGGGGGGAAAAAAATTATATGTATATATAGATAGATAGATAGAGGGCACAGGGTGAGTTGAAGATGAAGGGTTGATATCTGGAAAATAAAATTAAGGGGTGAGAGAGGATTATACTGGGAGAAGGAGAAAGGGAGAAGTAGAACGGGGTAAAATATCTCACATGAAACAGACAAGAAAAGGCTTTTACAGTGGAGGGGAAAAGGGGGAAGGTGAGAGGGAATGAGTGAATCTTATTCTCATAGGATTTGGCTTAAGGAGGGAATAACATACACAATGGGGTATGGGAATCTATCTTACCCTACAGGAAAATAAGGGGGGAAGGGACAAGAGAGCAGAGGGTTAGAGGGGAAGGCAGATTGGGGGAGGGGATAATCAAAAGCAAACACTTCTGAGGAGGGATAGGGTCAAAAGAGAGAATAGAATAAATGGGGGGTAGGATAGGATGAAGGGAAATATACTTAGTTTTTCACAACAGGGCTATTATGGAAGTGTTTTGCATGACTACACATCTATAACTTGTACCAAGAAGCTTGACTTTTCAGTGAGGGTGGGTGGGGAGGGAGGAAGGGAGAAAATTTGTAACCCAAAGTTTTAAAAACACATGTTAAAAATAAAAAAAAAACACTTTAAAAAAATAGGTCTTTGTTTTTTAAAGCAGTAGAAAGACAGAGAGTCTATTTAGCAAAGGTTGCACCCTTTTGCAGCCCTAAACCAGTAAGGCTAAGGTAGTAAAGAGGTGAATGCTAGATGATGTCAAGAATCAGGAAGGGGAAAAAAGAGAGAGCTGGGACTGACTGAGTTGTAAAGAGGGGAGTTAAAATACTGTCCAGTCATCATAGAATGGAACTGATGTAGTTAGAGGTCAGGTGACCCTCACTATCTTAGGACTTAGTAGAAAAATCCAGGTGAATGAGACATGAGGCCAAGATTCAAGATTTCATTTGAGATCATCAAAGCTGAAATCCACAGGTTCAATAAGGAAGAATTACACAGGTGATTAACCCAGTTTGGCCAGTATAATAAGATTGGAAATATAAACCTATGATATGAAAACTCAAAACCATTTTTCACACTGGTATTTCATTTGTCCCTTGTACAGAAGACATTCAGTAAATATTTCTTCATGAATGAATCAGTGGATTCAGTATCTATGTGAGAGTGGCAAATGTTGTGACCCTTATATACTTAATGACTTTATATGAGATCTTTACTATATGAGATGTAACATGATGACACTGATCCCATAGGACACAGGCAAAATTCAATTTCATTCAACCTTATCACTGGGTGGCATGATCTGACAAACATTATATAATGAGCTATATAATCATAGTATACTACTGTAGTAATAATCTTAGAGATTAAGTAACTGAGACTCAGAAAGAGTCAGGGTAGCTGAGAAAATTAAGTAATTTAAGGTCTTAGAAAAATTAACTTGGAAATACTATTGGGATATGGAGATAACTAAGTAATTGTTTTATCTAAAACTGTTAAAATTCTATATTAAATGTACCCTTTCTGGTTTAAGATCTGTAATAAATTTTAATTAGTAATAAGAATAACATTTTAAAAAGTAATAAATCAAGTACAGCACTTTTTCAGTAATGAGAAAGTAGGCTCCATTAAGCCCTATTCCCTTTTGCTGATAAATGTGATGTTGACTTCTACAAAACACAGGTTTAGGCAGAGGCCTACAAGCTTAAAAGGCTTCAAGATATAATAGATAGCCTGAATCTCTCTCATTTAAGGATAACCTTAGCTAAATATGGAGAGGCTCATCACCAGAAGATTGGCTACCAGGTGATGAATTTTCTTTAGCCATAGCAACTCATGAAGAGGATTTATTAAGGTGTCAAGGACTTGTAGTTGTCATTGGTGGAAGGAGCATACAAATGGGAAGGGGGGGGAGAGACATGCAACCATTACAGGGCCTTGAAATATGGAAGTAAGATTTTAGAAATATTTCTTTATGACTTGCCAAGGTCACAATGTCGCCAAATCATTTGGGACAGACAAAATTGAAAACTTAGAAAGCTGACAAAAGAAATCTCATTCTAGACTATCTCATTTGGCTGTTAACAGTGGAAAATTTCTACACAGTTCAGTAACTTTTCTCTCCAAGAAACTTCACAAGGATTCAGAATCTCATTAAATAAAAGCAGGAAAAGCCTGATAACAGTGTTAACAGCAAGAGAGGAAACCTTAACTGACTTTGGCATGCATTGGGCATTCAAAAGCTGTTCATTTCTGTATACTTACGCTAGAGTTGGCGAAAATTGAATTTGAGTTGGCTGCAGAATACCCTGCATTAGTCAAGTCGTCAGTGCTCTGAAAAGGTACAGATTTAGCAAAATGATGGTTACTTTAAGTGAAATCATTAACAAAGTTTATGTGAGTTGAAGTTCTAAAATAATACATACAGATTTGCTACTAGGTCCATGTAGAAAATAGTTCAATGCCTGTGGGTCTCTAAAAAACAAAAAAGGGGAGAAAAAGAGGAAAAAAATGACATAAAACAATGAATCACCTATCTTTCAAGATTAACTTTTACTAAGAAAAAGAAAACTTTATTTTTAGTAAGACATTCTTCCCACTGATGCTTCTTTATATCTTTATGTGTCTTATATTCTGTCTTTAATTTCATAGCACTAAATACATTTTTTTTTTTTTGCCGATACCTGGTTCCTCTTTTAAGGCAGTAAATGAGTGATCATCAGGAGTATTTAATATTTAAAGTATCTAGTATGTTGTAACCCACACACTAGATCTTGTTAATGTAGTTGATCTTACACAGCTAGCTGTGTTTTGCTAATTTCTGAATAGGAAGCTTACCCAATAAGATCAAGGAGACACGAGTCATCATCATCATCCATGACAACTACAACGAAAAGGAAAGTGCTGATGTTTCATCAAAATCAAATTAAAGACAACAGTATCAATGTAGTTTTAACATGTAAAATATACTTTCCTAAAACTGTACCACTCATATGAGATTTTTACCCATCTAATAAGGTTGGGAATATTTAAGTAAGATTTTAATCCTCTGATTCTATAATAATTGTCATAGAAAATGTTTTATTTAAATCATTCTTATTACTTGAGATAAATAGTTTATTTATTATATAAGGGGTCACATACAGTAATAAAGGGTGCAAGATAAATGAAAGAGAGTTGGAGATGGTCCACTCCCTGGTGAAGACAGTGGAGTCAAAGAACAAACTCAAAACTCAGAGGCTGGTAAGCCTAAACTGTAAACTTTCCTATAACGAGCCCTGACAGAAGACAATCTCTTAACTTTCATTTTAGAAAAGTCTTACGGATACATATAGCTCTTTCATCTTGGAACAGGGCATTTTTGCACACTCTGAATAGTGACCCTTTTCCTTACTTAAGGAAAACAGAGAATAATAGCTCATCCTCACCATATTCTGAGAGATTTCAAAGAACAAGACCATAGATATCCCCAAACCCGAAGCAGCTACAGGAAGCTCGGTCCCACATTTTGATCATCTGTCCCTCACAACAGTGTTGCCAAGTCTTCAATTCCATCCAATCCATGCTCTAGGACATAAATCCTGATATTGGGTATGCATGAATGCACAGGGGAAAAAAAATCTCTGGAAAGATAGTCACCACCACCTCCCTTAAATATTTAAAGCATAAACTAAAAGTCACCTGCCAAGACTAAATGATCAAATTATTGTGCTTTAGCCAAAATGATGAAAACTATGTAAATTTAAAATCCCACCCAAGCCCCCTCTCCCCAGTCTCAGGTCCTGTAAACTTACACTAACACTTGCACACGTGGCAACAGTGCTCTGTACCCATTTCAAGCAGTGCATGGAATAATTTACATCACAGAATACCAGACGCAAGGGTTCTGCGGCAGTTGGAAAGGGCAGTTGTGAATGGCAGTTAGGCAGGAGTGAAATGCTGAGGAGGTGTCCCAAGGCAGAAGGGAGAACTGATTCAGAATGCACTTTTTTTTTCTTAAAAACAAACAACAATTTCCCACCAGCTAAACCTCTTCCCTAACTCCCCACGTCATCTCTTTCTAGTAGAGAAGAGGCACAGAAGTCACCACTCATTCCTGCACAAGGACCACAGAGCATCCCCCAAGGACAGCCCTTGAAGGGGGTAAGTATCTCTCTGGGGGCTCCTTTCTGCCCTTAGGTAGGTAGTTAATTCTGCTACTGAGGGATCCAAGGTTGGAAATGTGAGCTTGGTGTTCTTCTCTCCAGGCACACAGATAGGAGGCTGGAGACAGTGAGGGGAAATCATGAAAAGGAATACCTGCTATTAGGAGTGAAGACCCTGAGCCCAGCAGGAAGGTTAAGGCAGAGACTGTTTACAGGTTCAGACATGGCCCCCTTTGTGGTGATGCACATGACAGATTTTGAAGGGCAAGGATGGGAAAAGGAAAAAACCAAACTCTGTGACCTCAACTATTAGGCAGAGATATTTTTGAGTCAATTTCCTATATAGTCAGAAATATTTTTGAGTGCGGCCTACCTTAGAATCCTGCTAATCTTATTCCTGAATAGGACCCCATTTTAAAGATATGCGTGCTAGAGATTATACAGGTTTGGATATACCACTGGATAATAATGCCTCCCAACCCATCACAGGTACACATAAAAAGAGAAAGTCAATTCTGACATAGCTCAGTTAGCAAATAAGATGTGATCCTATCTCATAGTGTACCTCTACCACTTCTAAGAATTTAAATGGCAGGCCAGTATAGCAGGAAAGAGAAATGGATATAGAGTCAGAAGACTTGGTTTCAATTTCCTGGCTCTACGACTTAAGACTTCACAGTGAAGAGGAAAACCCAAGACTCTACATCCCATGAAACAAAAGTGAAAAGTGAGATTCTTTCAAGGGGGGAAAACAGGGTTCATCCTGGCAAGCCACTTCACCTATGTGGCCCCAGTTTCTTCATCTGTAAATAAAGGGGCTGGACTACATGGCCTCAGGTTCCTGCCAACTTGATCTTAAATGAAGTCACTTAACTTTTTAAAGCCTACTGCCTTATCTATAAAATGAAGGGGTTAAACATGATAACTTTTAGGTTCCCACTAAGCTCTAAACTAGATTTCCCTGTATTTAATGTTTAATTTTAAATATCACTTGCCCAACTAGCAACCTCAGTATGCAAATTTATTAAGAAAAATTACACCAATACAGACTATTCTAAAACAGTTTTGTAAAACCCACTTCCCCTTGTGCCTGCCTCACTTCTTACCCCTATCTAGTTAAACCAAAGTGGTGAGAATGCTGTAAAGGCCAAATGATTTAACCTCTAGCAAACTGGGGAACAAATGTTATCCTCTACCTAAGAGCCTCCATTAAGTGCGTTTTCAAGATGAAAAAGACTTCTCAGTTTCTGGGAAAAGACCTGTCAGGTACAAAGAGCTTTTCCTACTTCCTAGACAAAGTAGTCAGCTAGACAGGCTCCCAGATGGCATGATTAAAGAACAGACAATTTAATCATATCAGATGGAACTAAAAGTCATTCTCTTCCCTTCTTCCCTCCCTCTGTGTCACCCAAATAAACATTGCTGGTCAAAATCTGACTTGAAAGACTATTCCTTGTAAATTTCAAGGAACTCTGGTGTCTGTCCTCCAAAGGCATCAGAGACCTACCAGACATATCTGCCTTCTCTTACTCTCAAGCAGGTAGAATGCTATGGCCTTTATACTCAATAGCACACACAGAATTTCATTTTTAAAGGGCTATACCCATTCTTTGGGGCAGCTCCAAATTGACAGCACATTCCTCCCCACTACTTTCTTAAAGAGATTCCTAAAATACAGTCAACCTTGGAAACTGTATTTTGACTCATGGTTATTTTTTTAATTAAATTTTATTTTTAAAAAATCAATTAAAATCTGCCTTCTTTCCCTCCCATCCTCCCCCACCCCATGAGAAAGAAAAACAAAACCCCTGTAACAAACATATATAATTAAGCAAAACAAGTTCCTGCATTGGCCGTGTCCAAAAAAACCACATTTCTTAATCTTCACCTTGAGTCTAGGAAGTAGGTATAGCATGTTTTTATCATGAGTTCTCTGGAATAATGATTATACATTGCATTGATTAGAGTTCCTAATCCTTTCAAAGTTGTCTTTACAATATTGTTATCATTGTATAAACTGTTTTTCATCACTACAATCATTTCTTACAGTACCATACTATTCTATCACATGCATATACCATAATTCAGCCATTCCTCAAATGATGGTCCTCCAACTCCCGTTTCTAATTGTTTATGGCCAAAAAAAAAGCTGCTCTAAATGTTTTTGAATACATAAGAATTTGATCCATGTTTCTGAGCAAATTAAGCACACTGGGCAATGATTCACAGTGAAGAGGAAAACCCAAGACTCTACATCCCATGAAACAAAAGTGAAAAGTGAGATTCTTTCAAGGGGGGAAAATAGGGTTCATCCTGGCAAGTCACTTCACCTATGTGGCCCCAGTTTCTTCATCTGTAAATAAAGGGGCTGGACTACATGGCCTTAGGTTCTTGCCAACTCTGAATCCCATCATTCTATGTCAGCTTTCTTTCCCTCAATACTTCATGGAGCTGTGAATTCATTGATGAGAGAGCTTCCTCCACCTAATTAAATGATCTTAATGCTATGTTTGAAAAAAATCTCATCACTTTGTAGCCGATAGAATGTAAGTTCCTGGAGGACAGGGGCTGTGTTGTTTTTGTCTTTGTATCCCTAGAGAACAGCACAGTGCCAGGTACCTGGTAGGCTGTAAACAATTACATACAAACAAGCTATAGACAGCTACTGGAGTTTATTGACTGGGAAGGTGATATAGACCTGTGATCAGTTTGACAGCTGAGTGGAGGATGGACTGAAGTAGGGAAGATCCAACTAGCAGGCTACGGCAAGAGCCAAAGGATGAGGTGATGAGGACCTGCACCAGGGTCAGAGTAGAGAAGGGGACATAGGCAAGGGATGTTATGAAAGTAAAATGGACAGGGCTTGACAACTAATTGAATACAGGGGTGATAGTGAGGAGTCAAGCTCCTGGTTAGGAGCTTGGATGATTGGAAGGACAGCATTGAGACCCACAGTTTAAGAAGTGCTGAAGGAGTCACAAGGGGAAAAGTTTAAGAAGCCCTGTGCTAGACAGTAATAGAGAAATCAGGATGATCCATAGGTTTGGGAGGAAGATAAAGAGTTCATTTTTGGACTTGCTGGGTTCAAGATATTTATGAGATATCTATTCTGAGATAGTGACTAGATAGTTGGATATGTGAGAATGAAGGTCTGCAGAGAGGTTAGGAATGGACAAGTAAATCTTAGTCATCTGCATGGAGACAATAACTGAAATCATGGGAGCTGAGATCATGAAGTGAATGTAAGCTTCCTGAGAGTACTGTTTAATTTTTGTTTATATATCCCCAGAACCTAGCAGAGTGCTGACATATAGCAAGTGATTAATAAATGCTTGTTGACTGACCGAAGTCTCTGGCCTCCCTGCACATTTTACCATATAATGCTCCTCTCAAGGATCTTACAATTTATTAGAGTCCATTAAGAATGTACATAGATAAAATAATACAAATTAGGTTAAGTGCACAGGGATACAAAATACCATGAAAGATTTCCAGTTTCAGGGGATCACAGAGGGCTTTACAGTAAGTAGAGTTAATATTGGAAGAGGATGGCTAGGCTGTTAATAGTTGCAGAGAAGGTGGAAAGGGGAAGAAAACAACATGATTGAAGGTTTGGAGCCTGGAAATCATTGTTTGGTGGACAGTGAGTTAGCTGCGCTACTTGGCTGAAGCTTAGGATACCTCAGGTGGAATAATGCGCGATTATTAAAACACAAAAGCTACAATGGGAGACTACAGC